TTTTTTTGGGCGAAGATTTGCTTTAAGTCTTCTTAAGATGCACCTCTTGCTTCTTCTTTTTTTAAATTTCCAATATTTTATCTGAAAATGGCTCTACGACTACGACAACATGAAACGACGGCGTTTGTCACAAAAAGGGAAATAACAGAATATTCCGCAACCGTGAAAAACACTAGCCTCTACATAAACTGATCTCTCACTGGCCTCTTCTCATCAAACCCTAGCTTCTCTCTCCGCCATTGAAGCCTTTCCCGATGGCTTCTAGAAGAGTCCTCTCCTCCCTCTTCCGCTCCGCCTCTCGCCGACCTCTCTCCAAATCCGTCAACTCCAATCCCCGCCTTACTTCGCCTTCTCCCACAAGCCGCGCTTCCCCCTACGGCTACCTTCTCACTCGTGCAGCTGAATATGCTACCTCATCTGCTGCTGCTTCTACTCCTGCGCAGCCCCAGCCCCCTGTTTCTCAGAAAGGAGGTGGGAAGATCACCGATGAGTTCACTGGAAAGGGAGCGATCGGTCAAGTGTGTCAGGTGATCGGTGCTGTCGTTGACGTGCGATTTGAGGAGGGACTGCCTCCGATTTTGACGGCTCTCGAGGTACTTGACAACTCGATCCGGTTGGTGCTGGAGGTGGCCCAGCACTTGGGTGAGAATACTGTCAGGACCATCGCTATGGATGGGACTGAGGGGCTTGTCAGAGGGCAGCGTGTGCTCAACACTGGATCTCCTATTACTGTAAGATTCTCAATTCTGCTTGCGATCATCGGATTTATTGATAAAGTTGGGGTATTTTTGGGAAACGACGGCATTTAATTGAGAAAGTTACGGTCTTCTGGTTCAAATTGGTTAATTTGGTGCTTGTGTGTTTGGAGCTAAGAAATGCGGTGAGGTGTCTGTGGAGATTTGATTGCTATTGTAGATTTGAATCTAATGATTTTTGAAATATGGGTATCTCAAAATGAGAAATTTGTCGTTGGAGAAGGTAAAAATGTCTTGCTTTTTCATTCCTAAAGGAGGTGTTGCTTTTTTAATCAGTATTATCACAGCTGAATGGATGGAAAGGGATAACTCTATCATTTGGATTAGAATCATTGTTTTGTTTGTTTTTCTTTTGTGTGTTATAGCATTGTGGATCGAGACAACGAAAGGGAGTTTGCTTTGAATTTTTTTTTTTTAATCAATGTCAGTGCTAGCTATTTGGTGTCATTGGAGATTATGTCATTATATTACCTGATTTTATGGTTTGTATTTTGTTTCTGTATCCAAGAACGGTTATTCTTGTTGGTCTTTCTCATTTCTTTTCCTTATTATGTTTTCATGTTTTCTTTAGGTGCCTGTTGGTAGGGCTACCTTGGGTCGTATAATGAATGTCATTGGAGAACCAATTGATGAGAAAGGCGAAATCAGTAAGGCATCTGGAGACTATTCGGTCACTGGTTTTGTTAGTTTTGTGATGTGAAAGTTTTCTAAAATATTTTATTGCATGCTCTTAACAGAAACCGATCACTTCTTGCCCATTCATAGAGAGGCTCCTGCCTTCGTTGAACAAGCAACCGAACAGCAGATTCTTGTAACTGGTATCAAGGTATTCACATTCAATTAAGCTTGAAATTTTATATTTTAAATGTGATTGATACTTTGCTTCCTCATTTACCTTGTTTGTTTTGGATTAAATAGATTACTTTTATTTATTTTGGTAGGTTGTTGATCTCCTTGCTCCATACCAAAGAGGAGGAAAGATTGGACTTTTTGGTGGTGCTGGTGTGGGGAAAACTGTGCTTATTATGGAACTTATCAACAATGTTGCTAAAGCACATGGTTTGTTTTACATTATTGTGCCCTTGTCTGGTCGTTATTCTTTTTATTCTTCTTTTAATTTAATGTTATATGCTTCTGGATCAGGTGGTTTCTCAGTGTTTGCTGGTGTTGGAGAACGTACTAGAGAGGGCAATGACTTGTACAGGGAAATGATTGAAAGTGGTGTTATCAAGCTAGGTGATAAGCAGGTGATGACAATGCAGAACATTTGCTTTGCCTATTCTGTTTTTGCATCTCTTTTTATTTATTTCATTTTTGTGGTATGCGCTTTGTTGCTTATTTGTTGTCTCCACCATGACAGGCTGATAGCAAATGTGCTCTTGTGTATGGTCAAATGAATGAGCCCCCTGGTGCTCGTGCCCGTGTAGGTCTTACTGGGCTGACTGTTGCTGAACATTTTCGTGATGCTGAGGGGCAAGATGTGCTTCTCTTCATTGACAACATTTTCCGTTTTACCCAAGTAGGATTAATTATCATGAATGCTTTTAAATTGCTTTCTACATGTCCTTGTTGCTGATGTTTTAAATTGTATCCTTCCTCTCTTCCTGCAGGCCAACTCAGAAGTGTCTGCTTTGCTGGGCCGTATCCCATCTGCGGTCGGTTACCAACCAACTTTGGCTACTGATCTTGGAGGTCTTCAAGAACGTATTACAACCACCAAGAAAGGTTCAATTACCTCTGTCCAAGCTATCTATGTGCCTGCAGATGACTTGACAGATCCAGCTCCTGCAACAACCTTTGCCCACTTGGATGCCACAACTGTGTTGTCACGACAGGTATGTTACATGTCTACATGAGCTGTGCAGACACATTGCTAATATAGGTATTTTATTTTTATTTTTTGCTGCACTTCATCATGTCACACCATTTTTCTTCTTTCAGATCTCAGAGCTTGGTATTTATCCTGCTGTGGATCCTCTTGATTCAACATCTCGTATGCTCTCCCCCCATATTTTAGGTGAGGAACACTACAATACTGCTCGTGGTGTGCAGAAGGTTCTTCAAAACTACAAGAACTTGCAAGATATTATCGCCATTTTGGGTATGGATGAGCTCAGTGAAGATGACAAGTTGACTGTTGCTCGTGCTCGTAAGATTCAAAGGTTCTTGAGCCAGCCTTTCCATGTTGCAGAAGTGTTCACTGGTGCTGCTGGCAAGTATGTTGAGTTGAAGGAGAGCATTGACAGCTTCCAGGTACTCCTTTCTGTCCTTATCTGGCTTCCATCTGTCTCTTTATTCTCTTCGGTAGTGCATGCCGTTTAGTTGGTTTAATATATTTTTAAGTTTTAAGACTGGTTTTTTCCAATTTTGTGAATGCATCAAAGAATGGTGCATGAAGAGCCAAATTCATTTGGGCTTGAGCCTTTTTTTTTTCAAACAGTGTGCCCTCTTATAAGTTTGTCTTAATCATGATTGATTTATTTTTCTTTGTCAAACAAAATCTATCTCATTTCCCTATTAATATCTTCTAATATCTGTTTTTCCATGATAATGCGAACTTGTACAACAGCATTCAGAATTTGTGGCTGGTTTAGTAGCTTTGATGGCGTTAACCAATATCCTATAAAATTAGAACTGCCTGTTCTAGTGTGTTTGTTAGTATCACATCTAAGTTCATAGCGATACATTGGTGATTTTGCAGGGTGTGTTGGATGGTAAGTATGATGACCTTCCAGAACAGTCATTTTACATGGTTGGAGGCATTGACGAGGTCATTGCCAAGGCTGATAAGATCGCCAAGGAATCAGCTGCTTAAAATCAGATGGCTATCAGTAGTCAAACTCCTTGTTCTTCTTGATAATTGCGAAAATCAATAATTTAGTAGGTGTTGGCAATGCCAGCAACAGAAATGTTCATTTTTTGAGGACAATGTACCAGGATTTTCAATTTCTGTTTTGCATGTTACTGAAAGTGTGAGAGGAACAGAACTGGGGCCTGTCCTACCAAGTCCCTGCTTTTTTCTTGTTCTTAATAAGGGAAAAGAAGGCGGACGTGTATATTTTTCCTCAAATTAACATTGGATGTTAAGACTCACACTCTCTTCGCTGCTGACTTAAGCCAATTTGTTGCCGAATTTTCTGGTGTTCGTTTTTTTTTTTTATATTCTCTTTTTATGAACTTAGAAGTTCTATTTTCTTGTTTTAAGGTGACTGAATTTTCTGTTAAGCAGTTCCGGCTAAACAGTCACAAATCAGGAACGGAGTCTAAAGTTATTTGTTTAAAATGCTTAAAATAAACTTTCGATTTTTTTTTTTTTCTATATTAAGCCCTCAAGGTAAATTTAATATTACTCTGTTCAACTTTATTGACTTTAATTTAACATTTTTATTTTAAATTTTAAATTTTAAATAAAAATTTAATAATTAAATTTGAATAAAATAAAACTAATCAACAAAAATTATATATAAAAAAATCAATTATTTTTAATATATTATTTGTCAAATTTTCATATTAATTAATATTTAAAGAAACTAAAATTAAAATTAAAATAACTAAAGTTGAATGCAGAGGTATCATTTAAACTTACTAAAGTTACATGCGGGAGTATCATTTAAACTTCTTTATTGCACAGAAATTACTTAAGATGAAAGCGGATTTTACATGAGTTTGGTTTTATTGGTGGCTAGCCAGTCTTTAGAGTTATTCCAAAAAGCAAAAAAAAAAAAAATCCTGATCACCCATTTAAACTCTGAAATATAAACAGAAGATTCAATGATATATGAATATTATATAGCGACTGTCTTCCCCACCTCTAGGGTAGAACAAACTTTTGAACCGAAGACAATCGACTATGAAGACCCCGAGTAATTCTTTTTCTAAATCAAGATCCTGGGTCATTTACCTTAACAAACATGCATATACTACA